GGTGGCTAGTAGTAGTAGTAGTGGTGTAGTAGTAGTAGTAGTAGTAGTAGTAGTAGTAGTGATAGTAGTAGTAGTAGTAGCAGTAGTAGTAGTAGTAGTAGTGGTGACACGTCTCAGTTCTCGAAAACCACAAGCCCTGAATTGTGAGGCCAAAATCCCAAACTTTACCAACACATGTTCTGGACCTTAGCACCGTGTCACCAGCTGAACCCCAAAGCCGCAAAAGCCATTTTTAGTACGAGGTCCCTGGTGGCACGCCTGGGCGGCCACTCGCAGCCGCGCACGCACCGAGGAAAGGAGCGCTTCCCGGGCATCTTGGCTCTGCGTCTTTTCTGTTGTCAGGCTTGTCTTTGCTGGCTTTATATGTGCATACGTATACATATGTTAATATAATACAATACATACGCACATCTACACATTTGTAAATCTATGCATCCGGACATATAGAGCTGTAGACAGACTCTCAGTTTTACATGAATAAATATATACACATATCTACGTCTACAAATGCACGTACATATGCACAAGCCTGTATATATGCAGACATACAAACACACATACACACATACACGTATATATATATATATAAATATTTTTTTTTACACACAGATTTGCACACCTCTACTATATAAGTTTTTACAAGCATATACACAGACATCTAAAAACACATTTACATAAACACACATAGTAGTATAATGCAGTGTAATACAATATATGACAAGATAAAACACAGTATCATATGATAGAATAGACTGGCCTAGAATGGATCAGACAGTAGCACTGTTTTTCTATTGTATATATATATAATATAACACAATTCAGCACATCATAACATATATATATATACATATGTGTGTATATATATATAATGTGTATATAGTATACATATTATGCAATGTTATATTGTATGTCTATTCATCATAGTACATATGTTAGAGTATGATATAATCTACTACTATGTTTTATAGAGTATAAATGAAGAGGTATTTTTAAATATATTACGTAACTTATTTTCTAATTAATGTTGTACTATTTTCAATATATTGCACAGTGTTATTTTATATGTTATGTTTCAATGTTGTTGTGTTTGCTTTTTTCTTGTCATCTAACTAGTCTATTCTATTACTGCTCTGTTCAATTATATCAGACTATATAATCTAGAGATCGTGCGGGTCATTTGGGCGGGGGGGGGTCCCCCGTTATATATATATATATATTTTTAAATATATATGCATATGTGTATATACATACATAAATACATGTTACATATGTATATATGTATATGTATATGTACGTATATTACATATATATATATATATACATATAGAGATATGTACATGCATATGTGTATGTATATGTATATGTATATGTACATGTATGTGTATATATATATATGCATACGTACGGACGTTGCATTTGTATGTATGTATGTATGTATGTATGTATGTAGGTATGTGTATATGATAGTATATGTATATACAAGTATTTATCTTACATACATATATACATGCATATATATATATATACATAGATATATACTCGGTATTGCATACATATGCACATATTTATCATCATAAATATACATAAGTTATGTTATAGTTTTATTATATGCTATATATTCATTCTGTGTCTATGTGTGTGTAGGTACATGTTCTTTCTTGAGCTGGTGGATTGCTACAGGAGTTGAGTGCTGAGGGTTTGGGCTAGGAGCGCTTTTCGGCTATTACAGGATAAAGGCATACGTGAGAGCTGCAGGGCTGCGGACTTGTTGGTCAAGGTAGATGGCTTCGTTCGATACACGTGTGTGAACGTGCATATGCAATTACTTAGCAGAATAGACTTACCCGCAAATGTTCAACTGCACGACTGTACATACTCTTGTACATTGCCTGTGCTTCAACTGGAGTCGTCGCTCGGTTTGTTCATATTTGCAAACGCACGTGTTGTGGCATTTCCGACGCACATTACACTGATCGAACTACCTGTTTCCATACATGCAGGTATGCTTCTATGATGTGCGGTGCTAGCATTCTTGCTCTATGCTTCGACAATGCTACTCGGTGTATGTGTGGTTGCTTTAACTGGCTATCCAGCTGGACGGATGGATGGCAAGACACGGGATACTTAGACAGATAGGAAAACAGAGAACCCTACCAGTATGTAGTAGCTATGTCGTTCATGCATGAGAACTCAATGAAGCACAAATTCCTTGACCTTGATTCCATAGCATTGCATGTACGCGGAGAGATAGGAAACGTGCAGAATCAGTGTAGAGTGTAGATACATATGCAAGACATACGACACCCGGCTAGAAGCTGCCCACATCAGCAGGCATGACCATCACCTATGCCCTGATCCAGATGCTGGAGAAGGCCTCCTGAATGTCTGATGCAACATTGTTTGGGCTTGCAATTCTTGTTTACGCCTCTGCTGATTCTAGCGTGTGAGTGTGTGCGTGTGGTGTTTTCCCCAAGCACATCCGTCACAGTTTCGTTCATCTGACACTTGAGTCCGTGTTACCTGCACCAAACTATATGTTAGGGTAGTAACATGTATACCGGTGTTGTTCCGACATGAACTTTCGCAAGAGGTGGCGGAGAAGACGGACCTGGCG